TAGTCTAGCCATATCGATATCTCCTCCTCCAGCCAGTCCGCTGGGGCTGGGTCCAGGTGGTGCTTCGCGTTCCCTTCTGAGCAAGGGCCAGCGAGCAAGAAGCCTCGGTCCTGCCAGTCCTTGGCGCCAAGGATCATCTTGGCGGTGTTCGGGTCGTGGGTCTTGTCGGCGTTCAGGATGGCGACTTCGGTCTGGAGGGTCTCTACGTCGATCAGTGGTTCGGGCTGAGGGTCCTCTGACTGGCATTTCTCGAGGTACTCTTCTGTCTCTTTGCAAAATCGACCTCCCACTTCGCATGTAGTTACGTTTATTGGGGCCTGCTTTAGTGCCTGCACGAAGTCTGCTGAACTCGGCGACTCGTGAGAGGTCGCGGTGGCGGTAGGCTTCGGTGATTTGTTAGTCGAGAAAATGATGCCACCATGCCCGTTTCCATTGGGCATGTTCGCGGAATCGGCGAGGAATGAGCTTGAGATAGATGTCATCGACCGCCATGCCTTTGTCACGTAGTTGTGCACGTTCTCGGAGGAGTTGCTGTCGTATACGCTGATCATCTTTGAACCAAGCTGGATGTCCTCCAGGGCGAAAAAAGTGTAGAATCGCTGCTTGCTGGACCAAGTATGCAACGTGTGCTGCATGTCGGTCGGAAAGCTGGTCATGTTGGGAAACTCGGAGAGTATGTGCATGTTGAATGAGCTGCTGATGTAGGTAACGTAGAAATTCAGCGCGTCGGTGCCCCGTCTGTAATCCTGCTGCCAGCGGGGCCCAGTCCCATCGTAGTGCATAGTCGATAGAAGATGACGTTGGGCAATAAATTGGACATGAATAAGCATTGGGATGTAATCGAGCATGCGAGGAAGGACACGCAGGCGTTGATAAAAGCGCCAGCATAAATTGAGCTTCGTAATAATAGAAAACGCATCAATCGGGCCGATCCAATAATCAATTCTGCTGCGAGCACCGCCATTGCCGAAAGAAGTCTGCCCAGTAATCCAGAATGTGTTATACGCGCAGAGCTGATTGATGATGAGTCTTTCGTGAATGGGTGTGCCTACGGTAGTCTCTGGGGCGGGCTGCTGTGATTCGGTGCTGTCGTCCGTACATATGGCCCGATGACGACGTCCCATGCCTTGGTTGAGGTCGCTGAAAAAGAGGGGCGTCATGCGTGTCGGAGTAGAAATAATCTCTGTTGTAGTCCATTGCCAAATTCGTGTGCATGTCCGTTCCGTGATCTTGATCTTTGCGTTTGAGCTATGTGGGACTGGAAATAGGTAACCCACGATCAGCCTGACTCGGAAATGTCCTCGTACAATATCAGTGGCGCCTGCACGGCCCTGTAAGTCAGATGGCGGGGAGGCAATTCTGACTGCGCGCATGGGAGAAACATGTCGCTTACATATCGCAATGGAGCATCCACAGGCGGAAGTAACATGTGGGGGCCGACCCCCGTCCCAGTGCATCCAAAAGTGGTATCTGGATTCTTCGCGGTAGTGTAATGGCTGTGCAATCTGTCGAGTAGCTGAAATCGATCTGCTGGGATGCCTCTTGGATCTCGGGGCCCCTGAAAAACTTCCGGATGTCGTCGTCGATGTCCCAGGCCACAGAGGTCGTCGCTGATGGGGGCTGCAAGGGCACTGAGGAGGTCCTCGCGGAGCTGGCGGGCCCAATATGTGTGCCAGGGCGTAAGATACCGTATTGGTTGCGAAACTCATGGCTGATAGAGTCGGTCCTGCCAGTGGGACTGATCAATGAATAAGGGTTCCAGCCTACGAGCTTCGCGTTCTCGCTAGGTCGTACTAAGCTGCTGCATCGTCGCCATGTCGTCTTTCAGGGTCTTCCACCAGCAGCGCCGCGCCGCGCGGCGGCGCGCACGGAGCGTCAGGGCCAGCCTCTCAGCAGGCTGGGGGGTCCATGGCGGGTGACTGGACTGCACGAGATTTGCGGGGGGGGAAAGGGGGAGGTGTGTGAGGCCTGTTCACACGGGGGGGCTCGAGCCTTTCGCGGCCTTGTTCGAACCCATGGGCAAGGCATCGTTCCGCGCGGGACTTCCTCCTGAATCTGGCCCAGGTCAGGTTCGGAAATAAGCGGTGACTGCGCGTTGCTGCGCCCGTTGAAACCAACGCGGCGTTCGCGCGGGATGGTCTTGCGCTGGCCTGCGTCTTGCGACGCCCCATTGCGTCGCGGCCAAGCGCGCCGCAGCGGCAAAACCGGGCCAAACTTTAATCGTGCCGATGGGCAGTCGAACTGCGCAAAATCCATAAACGCATCCACGATGCCGCGACAAAAAGATCGCCCGATGTCCGACGCGCCCGCGCAGCGTGGACCAGAGGCGCCCCGCTGGGCGCGAGGGGCCCGGCGCGGCGCGACGGGGGCAGAGCCGCGCGCGCTGGCGGCGGGCAACCTCGAACTTGCGCCCCCGATGAAATCTTTATAAACCAAAACGGGGCTGCGGTTCGAAAACGACAAACCGCCTGGAGCTTCCTCTTCAACGAAGTACGAACCAGGATGGAGATCGGTTCGGAGCCATAGGGGCCGGGTCGAGACAACAGAAAAGCGATCGATTCGCGCTGGACATTCCCGGGAAGCAAGTTCGAACCAGGTTCGAAATTTTACCGAAACAATCGAACATAAGGTTCGAAACAGGTTCTAGCCTCGGTTTGAACCCATGGACAAAGCAGCGTTTCGCGCGGGACTTCTTTTGGAAGATGGTTTGGGCCAGGTTCGGAAGCGGGTGGTGAATGCACGTTGCCGCCCCCGTCGAAACCGCAATGTGGCGTTCGCGCAGGATGGTCTCGCGTTCGTCTGCGTCTCGCGACATTCCATTGCATCATGGCCAAGCGCGCCGCAGTGGCAAACTTGGGCCAAACATTAATCACGCTCATGTATCCTCCACGCTTGTAACACATGAGCTCGTACCTTTGCTTTTGCCTTTGCTGACTTCGTTCGCGTCGCCGTTTCCACTCGCGCCCCCAAGCCAGGCCCGCCAATTTCCACCTACGTCATAAAAACCGGACTCGTTCACATTCGTGCCCCACCCAGAATCTTCATCGTTAATTCGGCCGGTCTCCATGGAGTTGTTATTCTTCGCGTCGGCATCCAAATCTTTTTCTCTTGCCCAATCTCCACGCTTGATGAACAGTTTCTGCTAGATAGCATAGGCTGGCGATTATGGTGTTGCGAAGCAGCACTGCTGCCAGTCGTCAGGCCAATCACCTGCGTGGGTCATGATGGCCCTTAAGGCAGTGACCCTGGACGGCAAAGGTGACGAGCATACGCTCCCTTACTTCTCAAGGGACCCCACTAGAGCACTCCACTGTTCCAGCTGCGCCGCCACGTCGTCAACCTTCTTGGGTTTTCTGGGTCCACGGCCAGGTTCATGTTACGTGACACTGTGGCTCCTGAAACGGCCGAGAACAGTTATATATAGAAATATGTATCTATGTACCCACAATTCTATACAGAAATGCGTATCGCTCGTAACCAAATATACATGTATGTATGTATGTATGTATGTGTGTATATATAGAAACACACTCTGACACGCCCGCATGACATCTCCATTTTCCCCGTGGTTCCGTCCACTCCAATTTATGATTCAACAAGTCTTAGAAATCCCCGTCCAACTTTGTGGAATCGTCTTCGTCGAGTTCGTACTATATGTTGTCGTCGTCCTCTTGCCTCCTGGTTGGTGACGCCTTGGTGTATCCATGGTTTTAAAGTTGTTGTTCAAATGTTTCAAGACTAACCGATGAAGGTGCTTGACATGGGCGAACGCGTGCAATAATGTCTCGCTCCAATCCCTGAATTTGGTCCAGTCACCTGGTCACGTTTTTACCTGTTGAGCAAACTTCTCCTCGTGGACTGTGTTGTTCCATCTCCTGCGGCCCTCGTGCTTCCGGCGGAGTGTAGAACTTCGGCGACGTTGGTCACAAGATGCGAGGTGTTCGATTTGACGTTGGAATTTTGCCTTGACGTTGAACAAATTGTCCCTCGCACTACATGTTGCGGCAGATGACCAAGACCACAAACAAAAACACATTAATGTTGTACTTCGTCTCCCACATCGTGAAAGCCTCATCGTCGTCAACCGTCCTGGTGTCCAATGTGGCGCACCGCTCGAAGAACGTTTCATCCCTTCGTGATAGGCCTTGAAAGCGGCGACGGCATACTTACATTTTCGGTTCTCGCAACCGGCTTTGCACAGCTCAGCAAGCTTTTTCGTGCTCAAGTTATACCAAATTTCTCGAACATCAACGAACGTTCCTTTGTAACCCGGGTCGTGGTTGCCAGGGTCTGTTCGGGTCGGTGCGGCGGCCGCCGCTGCCATCCCTGCACTAGAACTCGTGGGGCGAACCTCGGGCTCCGCTACCATGAAAATCAAAGAGTAATCTTTTGCGGAGAAGGCAAATATCACGTGAACCATAGCATTGTGGCCCACAACTAACACGCACCAGTGCAATACCTACACCGCGTTGCTCACCCAGTCGCACGGCCATGTTCTAACAATCGTCCTTCCTCCTCTTCCTTCTCCCCCCTTTCTCCCCTCCCCCTCCCCTTCTTTTTGCTTTCCCCTCCGTCCTCTTTCTTCTTCCTTCCCTTCTTCCCTCCGGCGGGACGAAAAATAGCGATACGGCCACTCGCTGGACCTTTTCCCCGGTGCGACGTTACCAGGACTTCGAGGCGAATCCAGCCGTGGCGAAGAGGGAGGCGTAGTGATATCGGATATCGTTACCTGTTCCTCCTCTGACCTTCCCTTCCCTCCCTCACCCCAAGCATCCGATGCTACATTTATTTCAACATGGGGTTTCCAACCGTCCTGACCCTTCCCACAAGACGGCGGTTCATCCTGAGTATTTGTTTGGCGGTCTTGGTGCCCGTTGAAAGCTCTGAGTGCCGAAAACTGGCGTAAAACGTCCGTGGTGACTTTTCCCACGACGCATGGGTCCTTTTTTCCTCTTCCTGTTCCCTCCTCCCTCCTCCTTCCCCTCCTTTGCCGCGGTGGCCTCCCTCGCGAGCAGCCCGGCCCCGAGAGCGGCGCGTTTGGGCGGTGGCACGACGACGCCTGCGCGCCGCGGGGCACGGCCCCCACCCCTTCCGGCCTCGGGAGGCCGAAACGTCTTAGCGAAGACCGGGCTCGGGATTTAAAACGTGTCAGGTCAGCGTTCGGATCGGCTGAGTCATTCCGAATGATGACCAGGAGGCCTGAACACTGACCTGATTCATTGTGGTCCTGAGGCGGCAGTTCCACAGCTGACTGGTCAGGTCCGTGCTTGGTACTGAAGCAACTCCCTGGGAGCCCAGCGCTGACATTTTGCTTTGCCATATTCTAAATCTGGGATTTCTTGCTATTGCTGGGAGGCCTTCGCCTCCTCACTCACTGCCACCTCTCCTCCCTCTCATCGCACTCAGATCACTCATGCTCAGGCTCACTCGCAATCGGATAGCACAGACTCAGACTAGCTCACACTCAGACTCACTCGGGTTCAGATACATTCACACTCAGACTCAGACACTCAGACACTCGACGCTCACATTCGGACCCAATCACAATCAGATCCACTGACAGCTGGCTCACGCTCAGATTAGCTCACACGCGATGCACCTGAAGACCGCAGGGAGGAGCCGCCAGGGGGCAGGACATTTGGCCGTTCGCGCCCAGATTGTGAGAATGTCTCAGGCGGCTTGCGTGTTTTGGTGGTCCAGACCTTCCTTGAAGGTCAGCGCCCAATGCTCATCGCGATTCAGCAGGCGCGGCATTTGAGCACTTCAAACAGGAGCCGCCAAGGGGCAGGACATTTGCTCGTTCGCGCCCACATTGAGGGGATGTCTCAAGCGGTTATCATGTTTCGTGGCACAGGCTCCGTTCTTTTTTTTCAGCGCCCCATGCTCATCGCGATGCAGCACAACATGCGTGGCATAACCCTGAGAGGTCTTCAAACAAACCCTCCCAATGAGGGGTGACTAACTATTTTCCTGGCGGCCTTCTTGAAGGACTGGGGTCCCATCAATAAGGGGTAACTAACGATTTGTGTTCCGCGGCACCCGCCGCGCAACAACGACGACAACTACGACTACGGTTGCGTTAACTACTACGATGACAAATGGTATGATTACTTCAACAACAACAACAACAACTACTACTACTACTACTACTACTACGACTACGACTACGACTACGACTACGACTACGACTACGACTACGACTACGACTACGACTACGACTACTACTACTACTACTACTACTACTACTACTACTACTACCACTACCACTACTACTACTACTACTGCTGCTGCTGCTGCTGCTGCTGCTACTTCTACTACTACTACTACTACTACTACTACTACTACTGCTACTACTACTACTACTACTGCTGCTGCTGCTGCTGCTGCTGCTGCTACTACTACTACTACTACCACTACTACCACTACTACTACTACTACTACTACTACACCTACTACTACTACTACTACTACTACTACTACGACAACTAATATGCTACTACTACTAGTGCTACTGCTACTGCTACTGTTACTACTACTACGACTACTACTACTATTACTAGTACTACTGCTACTACTACTGCTATTACGACTAATACTACTACTGCTACTGCTAGTGCTACTGCTACTACTACGACTACTAGTACTACTAGTACTACTACTACTACTACTACTACTACTGCCACGGCTACCACTTCTACTACTACCACTATCACTACCACTACCACTACTACTACTACTACGACGACGACTACTACCACCACTACTAGTACTACTACTACTACTACTGCTGCTGCTACTACTATTACGACTGCGACTACGACTACGACTACGACTACGACTACTACTACTACCACCACTACCACCACCACCACCACCACCACTACTACTACTACTACTACTACTACTGCTACTACTACTACTACTACTACTACGGCGACGACTACTACTACTACTACGACGACGACGACTATTACTACTACTACTACTACTACCTCGAGTACTACTCTACTACAAATACTACCTCTACTGCTATCACTACTACTACTACTACTACTACTACTACTTCTACTACTACTACTACGACTACTACTACTACGACTACCACGACTACTACGACTACTACGACTACTACGACTACTACGACTACTACGACTACTACGTCTACTACGACTACTACGACGACTACTACTACTACTACCACTACTACTACTACTACTCGTGCCATTCCCAAGGGGGAAGAGGAGAATGAGGAGAAGGAGGGAGGATGACGGAGGAGGAGGAGGTTTTAGGACCAGTCCGATTCGTCGCCGAGAGAAAAGGGAGAGGGCAACACTAAAGACCTTTAGCGGTTACTCCAAGGAGGAACCGCCAAGGGGGAAGGACATGTGCCCGTTCGCGCCCAATGCGTGGGGATGTCTGGGGTGGCCCAGGCCCCTCTCTTTTCAGAGCCCGATGCTCCGACTCGCGTGGGCGCGCAGTCTCGCTCATGCTTGGACTCACCCATGCACAAGCACTCAAAAGGGAAGGCGATGCGGACACAACTCCCAAGATCACCCCGCCGTAGCAGGCATAGCATTTGGGGCCCCCCACGGGGGAGCCGCCAAGGCGCGCTCAGTAGCCACTGGCTAAGATTCTCTCACGATGCTCACAGAGGGGAGTGCCAGGAACTGAGATGAACATATGGGGATCTCCGCGTCGAATGAATGCTCCCTGCCAAATGCTTAAAAGCTTTTGCTTGCTGAATGTGTACCTCACATGTTTATCATGGACGAAGAATGCCAGGCGGTGATTCACCCGCGGGATCGATCTGCGGAGGCCTTGGCACGCGGTGGATATTCAAATAATTAGCCCTCCAGGGACAGCGTCTGTCCATATTAACCGCCTGCCGATGTCCCCGAAGATCGATCCCTCAGGCGGTCGTTATGGGTAGATCCACGAAGTCGGTGAAAAAGGTCCTTAAGGAGACGGGCCCTGAAGTTTTTCGCCGTCTCCGGGCACCTGGGGCCCTTCACGGTCCCAGGGGCCGTCTGAAAACGGCCGGGGAGGCCCTGTGGGACTCGTCCCTCATTGCCGGGCCTTTGGCAGGGGCGTCCGTGCCGAAGTCTGTGCCTACATCGGCGCTCAATGTCGCCCTTTCCCGCTTCCTCCTCCTCCTCCTGCTCGTCCTCCTCCTCCATTCCTTTTCCTTATGATTAACTTCTCCCTGTCGCACCCCGAAGCCAATTTTTAGGGCGGGCTGGGCGTTTCGCCTGAGACTTCCTCACCATTTTATGATTCTGAAGCTTTACAGCGGCAGCAATTTCACACATGGAGGGCGGGTGGTTTTCAAAATGTGGCTCTCGCCCTTGCGCCGCGCACATTCGTTTTTAGAGCTTTGCAAGTGTTTCACGGATTGAAGGCGGGTGGCTTTCAAAATATGGCTCTCGTCTTAGCGCCGCGCGCATTCGTCTTAAAAAATTGCAAGGAGCTTCGCGGATTGAGGGCGGGTGGTTTTCAAAATGTGGCTCTCGCTGTAACGCCGCGCGCATTCGTTTGACAAATTATACAATTTCCACGAATTAAGGGCGGGTGGTTTTCAAAATGTGGCTTTCGCTTTAGCGTCGCGCACATTCGTCTTAAAAAAATGCAATAGCTTCACGGATTGAAGGCGGGTCGTTTTCAAAATGTGGTTCTCGCCTTAGCGCCGCACGCACTCGTCTTAAACATCAGCAGGAATTCGTCGGATTGAAGGCGGGTCGTTTTCAGAATGTGGCTCTCGCCTTGGCGCCGCGCACATTCGTCTTAAACACGTGCAAGAGTTTCACGAATTCAAGGCGGGTAGTTTTCAACATGTGGCTCTCGCGCTAGCGCCGCACACTTTCGTTTTCAAACGCTGCAAGAATTCCACGGATTCTCATGACCAGCGCACCAGAAATGGTGTTTAGAAGGCTTGAAGATTATACGGTTGCAACAGTCACGTTGGTTCTCAGTGTTGAAGTCCGAGGAATAGCGTTCTAGCACGATTCAGGATCGTCAATACGCAACAGTCAGGTTGATCCGTGGCGTTGGAATCCCGAGAACAATGTCTTGGCATGCTTCAGGGTCTTCAAACGGGTGTCTTCCAACGAGGCAATTCCATCAATGGACATGAACCGTTGTAGGAGCCTATGACGAGGGAGCTTGGAGGGAGGGTTAATTCGATCTCCTCCTCCTCCTCATTCTCCTCCGCTCCTTCTCCGTATGAAGAAATTCTCCATGTCGCACCCCGAGGCCCGTTTATAGGGCGGGCCGGGCGTTTCGCCCGAGGCTTCCTCACCACTTATGACTCTGAAGCTTAAACAATGACAGCAGCTTCACATATGAATGGCGGGTGTGTTTCAAGATGTGGCTCTCGCCTTCGCGCCGCGCACATTCGTCTAAAAACTTTGCAAGGGTTTCACGGAATGAGGGCGAGTGGTTTTCAAAATGAGGCTCTCGCTGAAGCGCCGCGCACTTTCGTCTTAAACACTTGCACTAGTTTCACGGATCGAGGGCGGTTCCTTTTCAAAATGTGGCTCCCGCCTTCGCGCCGCGCACACTCGTCTTAAACATGTGCAAGAGTTTAACGGATGTCCATGAATGGCGTACCAGAACTTGCGTTTTGGAAGCAATCAGGATTATAAGTGTGCAACAGTTATGTTGATTCGCGGTGCTGAATGAAGACCCAGGCGTTCTGGCATGATTCAGGATCGGATGCAACAGTCAGGTTCATCCGTGGCGTTGAAATCCCGAGAACAATAGTTTGGCATGCGTAAGGGTCTTCAAACAGTGTCTTCCAAGGAGGCAGTTCCCTCAGTAAAAATGCGCCGTTGTAGGGGCCTATGGAGAGGGAGCTTGGATGGAGGGTTTATTCCAGCATCGTGTCTGCCTCTTGTGTTTACACTGGTCCTCCTCGTCGTCCGGTCTCTGGATGGGCGCCTCGGCGCGAGAGCGGCGAGACGGGGCCCCAGTGGAACTAAATTCCAGCAGATCGTGGCCTGTGATCAGCCTGCGCTGCGGTAGGAAAGGTTCTTGGTGGTCCACGGTCCCAATGTGGTCGCT